AAGGAATTAATTAAATAAAGTTATTTATAATGTTTCTTTTATGTAATAAAGGCTTTTTAGTGGATAATGATAGAGGAAATCGTCCTTGAATCGACTGATGATCGAGGGTTTCAATTAGGAAAAGGAGGTGAGTTAACTGCTTCTACTGCACACTTTTCTCCATTTTCTTCTTCAAAACGCTTTAAATAAAGATTAAACTAAAGTTGTGTTGATTTTTGCACTAATTTGCAGGGGAAAACGTCGTTTATTTCCCCTGATCGTTCGTCTCGGGAAAAAGGGAAAAGGGTGGAAAATGGCATCTTTGGAGGGAAAATAGATTGAAATAATGCTAGTTTCCCTTGTCATTTAATTTATTTATTTATATTTCGTTTTAATTTAAGTAGTATTACAATATTTCGTGAAAACGTGCAGAAGAAAGCGTCATTCGTTTCCTCACTAGTGATCATGATTTCGGGTGTACAGACACCTCAGTGATCCGTGCAGCTTTCCTAATCTGAATGTGATCTGTTAGTGTAAATTTTTGTCTATTTTTTGTTGTTTTAAGGATTTTAAGAGATAATATTTTGTTATAAATATATATTAAGTAATTTAATTCCTTTTTTCTTACCAATAGTGGTGCAACAATGCCCTGCTAGACCTACGTACACCCCCGCCATGAATGCCTGAAGAAGAAGGCGATCAAGACGAAGTCTTGTTTTTTTTATACCATATTCAAGAATATGGTAATAAGTATCGGGACTCGCAGTGACCACCATATTGTTATCTTTTTATTATATTGAATAAGTATATAATTTATATTTATTATTGTTCTTTTTATAGTATATATATGTGTATATATAGAGGATATATGATGAAGAAAATCCTTCCTTTTGCTGCTGCTGCAGCTGCGATAAAGGAATAAATCTCTTTAATTTCCTTTAAATAAATAAAATAAACAAAAAAGAAGAAAAAAATCTTTTTTCTTGTGGGGAGATACTAAGGAAGGATAGCCACTACTAGCACAGCCCCAAGGCATTATTTCCTTAATAATTCGTTACTCTTTAGAGGTAAGAACATGAATAATAAATATAAAATAAATAATTTTATTTATTTTATTATTTTATTTTATTTTTTATTCAGCAAATAAGACAAGAAAGACAAAAAAATATGCCCCCTTGTAGCTGCAGCGGGTGCAACTGGGGCTAGAGGCAGCGAGCATATATAAATTGTATATATATACAAATAAATAATATATATATATGTATATGTATATATATAAAAAATACGTAATATATTTTTCTTCCTTTTTCTCCTTTTTTCTTCCTTTTGTCTTGCAGATAAAAAGAAAATACACTAATAAAAAGGACAAATAAATAAACATAATTAATAAATCCTCTTTTTTTCCTCCTTTATACCCTATATAAACCCTAATAAATATTAATTATTCTTTTTATTATTGTTATTAATTAAATTATTTAATAAAGAAAGGAAAAGGAATAAAAAGAATAAATAATTAATATTTAATACACAACAAAGATTATAACTAATATTTATTTATTAATGTATATTTATATAATAAGGGCCTTCCTTATTTATATATAATATAATATAATATAATATATATATTATATTTATTTATTATATATATAATATATAGTAATGTATATACATAAGTATACATGTATTAATATATATATTATACAAATAATATACTGTTATATATAGATTTTTTAGGTGTACATACACCTCAATATTCATGTATTTCTTTATCTATACATCTAAATTATTTATTTTATTTATTTTATGATTATAAATATAAATATTTAATTTGCTGCTTATTTGTTTGCTGCTGTATAAACAGCAGAAAGAAGAACGCATGCAGCAGCAATTTGTTTATTTATATTATTATTTATACAAGTAATTAGTAAATAATATATATTATACGCAATAAATAAACAAATAAATAAATAAATAAATAAATTTATATTTTGTTTTATTATTATTATATTAAGAATATTATTAACACAAATAAATTGCCTGCTGTGTTGCCCTTTAGACACTTGAGGTGTACGTACACCTCAGAGGATAAAAAAGAAACAATAATATTATATGCATTCAATCTCTGCAGCATCCAATACAGCAGCAGCAACAACAACTGTAGCAGCAGCCGCAGCAGCAGCAGCAACAGCCATAGCTGCAGCAGTTTGCTGTAAATAATTAGACCTTCAATGCGATGCATGCAAGGCGTACTCAGCAGGTCCCATGCGCGCAAACCCTAAACCCTCAAACCCTAAACCCTAAACCCTAAACCCTAAACCCTAGAAAGGAATTGTGTGGATGTTTGCAAGCGTTTGCTTAGAGGCGGTTTAGAAAAGAGGCAAGCAACACAAGCAGCAGCAGCAACAGCAGGAGCAACAGCAGCAGCAACAGCAGCAACAGCAGCAAAGCAGGACTAACAGACAGACACCGAGGGTCTTGCAGTGTATATTTATGTGGTTTATGAATCCTTTTTGTCTGCTGCTGCTGCTGATGCTGCATGCATGCATGCATGCATGCAGTATGTTGCATGCATAAGGTAAATGGGGTGTATATGTTGAGGGTTTAATATTTTGTCTCTTTCTTTTGTTTCCTTTGTCTCTTTTTTCTTCTTTCTTTTCTTTTTTCTCCTTCTCTCTGTTTAGCTAGCTAAAAAAGTAGCTAGCTAACTAGCTACCCAACCAAGTAGCTAATCAGCAGCAATATAGCCCAATGACTAGCTAGCTAGCTAGCTAGCTACCTACTTAGCTAGCTAAGTAGCTAGGTACTTAGCTACGTAGCTAGCTGAATAACTAGCTAGATAGGTAGCTAGGTAAATGACTAAATAGCTACATAGGTAGTTAGGTATGTGGCTAGCTAGCTATGTGGGTATCTGGCTAGCTGGTTAGCTAGCCAGCTAGCTAACCAGCTAGCCAACTAAGTGTATACAATAACTGCGCCTGTTCTTATATTGGCAATTTATCCTCTAAGTAAGAAGAGGAAGGATCAATTATTACTTCCTAGTGCTGAGGTGTACAGACACCTCAATAAACACACCACCAAACCCTAAACCCTAAACCCTAAACCCTAAACCCTAAACCCTAAGGAACTGTGTCACTGTACGCCAGTGAAACACACAGCAACCTGAAAAGACGAATTCGACATTAGGGTTTAGTGTTTAGGGTTTAGGGTTTGGGGTTTACGGTTTTGGGTAGGGTTTAGGGTTTAGGGTTTAGGGTTACGGACGTAGAGTGGCTGGATATAAGCGCCAAAAGTGCACAGTTTAGGGTTTAGGGTTTAGGGTTTAGGGTTTAGTAATATGTTATATAAAGATATAATTTGGTGATCAATGATCTCATTGCTAATATAGAAGAGGGGGCACCCTTGCTGCTGCTGCTGCTGCTGCTGGGGGCCCCCCCGTAGAAGGAGCAGCAGCAAGGGGGCCCCCCAGCTGCATGCAGGAGGTCTCTAGTGTACGAAGGAAAAGTTTGTTGCAAATATAAATAAAGACATTTAAATTAAGGCTTATAAATTAGGGTTTAGGGTTTTAGGGTTTAGGGTTTAGGGTTTAGGGTTAGGGGCCTTGTCTCGATTGCAAGAGACACAGGGGGGCAATAGGAAGACTCGGCAGCAGCAGCAGCTGCAGCAGCAGCAGCAGCTGCAGCAACAGCAGCAGCAGCAGAAATACCGCAACACTGACAGCAACAAGTGACAGATGCAGCAGCAAATCTGAAGGCATGCAGCAGCAACAGCAGCAGCAGCAGCAGCGGGACTGTGGGGCCGACGGGTGACAGGTTAGCAGCATCAATGCAGCAGCAATTCTTCCTGCTGCTGCTGCTGCTGCTGCTGCTATGTGATGCTGCTGCTGCACTCTGCTATGACGGTCGCCGCTGGGGGGCAGTCTTAAGGGACAGAGACCTGCTGCCTCTCTTCTTAAGAAAAACTAGCTGCAGCAGCAGCAGCAGCAGCAGCAGCAGCAGGAACAGTTGCAGCAGCCGTGGGCTGCGTAGGTTGCTGCCTGGAGCAGCAGCAGCTGCAGCAACACCAGCAGCAGCAGCAGCAGCACAGAGAGTTGGATACCATGTAGCAACACGTCCTGCAGCTGCTGCTGGACCAGCTGGCCGGGCAGCAGCAGCAACAGCAACAGCAGCAGCAACAGCAGCAAACCCGGCAGCAGTAGCAGCATTTACATACCGTCCCCTAAGCCTACCATCATCATCAACAGCAGCAGCAGCAGCATTATCACCAGCAGCAG